TTTGACAATTATTATGGGGAGCATTTTCCGAGTGCAACGTTCTGGTAATGAAGGCCAGTGAAAAAACGGGTGTTGAGGTCGCGCACAACCTACATAGAAATGTTATCAGGAATCTCAACCAAATTTATAAATTCACCGCTGGTCACAATTAATCGACGGATGACCCGAGTACAGACTTTTTGCAGATCCGCTGTCCTTCATCTTTTGACCCACCAAAAATGTTCTGATCGTTGGCGTTAGAGGAAATTTTGTTTAATAATTCCGTTCGCTTATGGTAAGCCCGTACTTTACACAAATGGACTAAAGTCAACCAAACGAAAATCGAATTATTATATAAACGTCTACTTGTTGATTTTTAGTAACGTATTTTGCGTAAAACATGCTGGCCCCCTTTTATAAAAAAGCCTGTCGGCAGCGTTTTCGAAATGTACTCCCATACACAATCGCCTTAAAATGTGGTTCGAAAAATTAATGTTTTTAATAAGGCAGAGGTATTATGCTTTATTACAAAGTGAATAACAACACCAGCTTTCTTCACTGGGAGAGAGAGAGTTCAGAAGGGATAGAAGTCTCCTTAAATCATTTCCGTCACGTCCAACATCTCATCGTCCTCTTCACTTTGGTTGCAGAGGTTTTCTAAGTGTGACCGAATAACCTGTAGAGTGCGCTCCGCGTCAAACGCATACTTGCATTCTGGCCAGGCATCTCCGTTTAAATCACCTGGAAAAAGCACACTCTGGTTAGTTCTCTGAAAAAATCAAGTCACTTACAACAAAGAACGAATAGCTTTCCTGAAGCCAGTTTCATCCACAAGGAGATTAGCACACTTAGAAGTGTGGATATTTCCTCTAGAGTTGACCGATCGCATAAGCGCCACCCGTGATGTCGTTAACTGATTTATTCAACGACCCACAAATTCTCGTGCTTTCGCAAGGAAGGATCCAAAGTGTTGTAATGGAAGCCCAGGCCGAGATATCAGCGCCCAATAACGCCTTTTGTGAGTCCGCAAAGGAAGGACACCACAAGAACTGTGCAACAACAGAAGTCTTTGAGTGTAATAGGTACAACGTATTTAGGACAAAGAACCGTGAAGCACGATGTCCATTGAGCCAAGCTGCTCCTCTCCTGGAATAGTTGGCGGTAGGATTGGCTGGTGACTCAACGGCTGACTGTAGTTTGAATTTCAAGTTATCGATTGATTGACTACATGATGCGTTCGCTCGCGTGTAGGCCAATCGATAGCCTGCCGTGTATGGGCTATCGCTTGCAAGCTACTGCTTGCTAAGGCTGTTCGTTAGGCCGTCCTTGCACAAACAACTAACAATGGGGGGGGACGTAACAAAGATATCAGTGTGTGTCTTTTCCAGTGGACGCTCAATGTTTGGAACGTTAGAATTCTGATCAAAAGGTCGCGGGTTCGAGCCTCGGACGAAGCACCACGTGAGGATCGGTATGACTGGCTGATTGCAGTAAGAGGCAGAAAGGGTCATGCCAGTTTCCCTTGTCTTCGCCGGCAAAGCTTTCTACTAGCCTTATGTCCCAGATTATTGCAGTCACCAGAAATGACGACAGATTTTGGTGCGAATTTGACGGCCCAAAAAGGGAATACGTGTTTCTGATGCCCTTACTCAAATGCAAAATTGTTCTTTTTAACTTACATTTCTGGTCAGAGATTGACGAAGGTGGCAGTGACTGCAGTTCATCATTTGCGTGTCTGCAACAAAATGCGAGATTTGTTTAAGAAAACGTAAGGCTAGAAGAAACCTAACCTTGGCGTTCGTTCATTAAAAAGGGATATGACTTGCTGTTGTGTCCCTGTTGAAGCCCCTCTGCTCAGAAACTTCCACTCGTTTTCCGAAAGCAATGAGGGATAATTGTTTATACTGTATAAAAAGGGCAGTTCAGGGACTCGGCGATACTGCTTACGCGTATGTTGCCGTTTATAGGTAGCCGTTAAATGACAGGGGAGTATGGGTTCAACATTACGTGATTATGGAACCTGTGAAGGGGATCACCTTACTAGAACATGTTTCGTAAATATTTCCATGGTTAATTTAAAAAGTCAGTTTCTGGCAAACACACGTTTTCAGCAACTCATCATCAGGCCAAACAATTTCAGTGGAAGATGGAGGCTGTGCAGAACAATAAAAGTTTAAATATGTAGATAAATCAATAACTGTCTAACATGGGCGTCGATTGGTCACTGCGGATTATGTCAGTTTGCGCAAGTAGGCCAAATCAGCGTGTTGGTTGAGAGACTGCCGCTAGTTAGAAGGAGCGAAATGCTATCGTCACCTGGCGTCGGTTTAGGCCACGGATGTGTAAGGGCTTGTGTCAGCGTTTTCTGACAACACAGCACTAGATTCGCTAGCTGTATAACTACTGCTTCCGCTGTTGCGAGCATCCGCTAGCGTAGGCTTTTCGAAAAGTTAGCCGGTGTCCGTTAGAGAACCTGAAAGGCCTTATTGGTATCGACTCGATGATTCGTATCGACAAGGTGTGCGATGAAAGGGCTCGAGATTAATTTAGTTTCACCTTTGCGTAGCCAGGCTGGTACGCATTCACGTACTCTCTTTTCTAGGCGCCTCGTTGTTCGGCCAATGTATCCTGCTCCACAGGAGCAAGTGACGGAGTATATGCACATGGATGTAGCCTTCAACGGGAGTCGGTTTTGAACTCCCAATCGTAGGAGTGGAGAGCTCGTGAATAACACGCGTATGTTCACCGCGGGGAAAGCGCTTGTGATCGCAGTGTTAAGGCGTCGTTTTACTAGTTCGCTTGTTGCATCTCCTAAGAAAAGCAGTCTTATGAATATGCCTTTCTTTTCTGCGGTAGGTAGCAGGTAGCAGGCTCCTTAGTGCGTTCACCAATATTCCTGAGGATGAACCAGCTAACTCTTCGAAAGGCCTACGTCAACGGATACTCGCAACATTGGAGGCACTGCCTATACGGCTAGAGAATCCAGTGCTGTGTTGTCAGAAGACGCTGGCACAAGCCCTTACACTTCCGTGGCCTACACCGGCACCAGGTGGCGATAGCATTTCGCCCCTACCAACTAGCGACAGTC